TAGCCACATCTGTATACCAGCCACTTACTGTTTTAATATATGTATGCGTTTGCAAAACTAAAACAGTTGAATGACTTACATATCACATATTACCATATAGACAGAAATCTCAGCTTTTTCTATGGGAGATATGAAGACGTTTAGCGAATGTTTCAAACCGTTGATAGTAGATAATCCCATATATACTGCTTTTCATATATATACTAATTATAATAATTTATAAATTAGACACGAAATATACGATAAATACTACCTGAAATACTACCTGAAAAAAGAACGAATAGAGTGCCTATAATAATATATTTCAATAAAGTTTATATAAATGATAGAAAAATATTCTTACCGTAGGGATTAGCAACGTAAGCTTACGCTCAGAACTTTCATACCATAACTGAAATGAAGAGATTTATGGTTTCCCTTTTGATTATCCGAATTACTTCTATCAGTTAGGATTATTACTAGGATTGAACACGGATATTCACACATACATGCATATTTTAAATCACATCACCCCAAGCAAGACGATAAAGACACGAATGCGCAAAGGGTTATTGTAAATGAAAGAAACTGATAAATATTTAAGTAGAAAAAACAATAAACTGAAATAATTTTAAAAGATAGATGACAACAACTTAAATAGCATTTAAATTTTTGATTTTCTTTTTATTGTATTTAACAGGAAAGCAAGAAGACGGAAGAGGGTGCCAGAGGGGAGAAGTGAGAGAGTAAAGTTATGAGAATAGATGTTACGGTTTCATTTAATAATGTCAATAGTAAAATGGTGAGATCTAGATGCCAATCTAGTACTACGTATGAATTTATGAAGTCGAGGTAGCAAAGAGAAAATCTCATTATAACGACCTTGAAAATAATATTAGAAAAGACACAGAGTAACTACCTTTCGACGGTGAAAAATTTATTGATGCCGAGTTGTCAGATCAGGATAGAAATAAATGCAGATATTTCTTTGGATTTTGTTAAGAATTTCTAGATAAATATGAGAAGCACCAGAACAGATCTGGGAACTTTATCCAATGCACGAACTTATAAAAGTGCAAGACTAAACTTGGTGAAAAAAAAAATTGTTTTGCAGGACAGCTAGAACCAAACTTCGTAACAGTAAACTTATCAATTAAATCGATATAATCGTTGCAATTCATATCTGTAGAAAGCGTCAGACTTCTGTAGGTTAGCATTTGACATGCTGATGGAAATGGAAGGCCAAAATGTTCGACATTCTAAGACGTTCAAAACAAAGTAGTTTAGTATCAGGGCGTTCAAATTAACGGATAATTTTTCGAAGCTAACATCATAATATATATATATATATATATATATATATATATATATATATATATATATATATATAGTCAGTAAATCAAAAAGAATGTCCAGATAGTTATCTAGGACCAAATTGTATGCATTTAAATATCTATTCACTCAAGTCGATACGATATAATCGCATCAGCAAAGATAAGTTAACCTTTCGTCATCTTTATTCATATTGTCTTTTTAGAAAAAAATATGTTAGTTATCTCTGAATTTTGCACACACAGACACGCACACACGCGCGCACACACGCGCGCACACACACACAACACACACACACACATATATATATATATATATATATATATATATATATATATCCCAACTTCAATCTGCAAAAAAAATGCAATGTCAATCGCTATCTACAGTCCATATTGCTAAAGTACTGGGTTACGCATTTCTAGAATTAACGTGTGTATCGTGTTCTTGTCGTTTATATGCAAAGATTATCAATAACGGTAGAAGTTTACAAATTTTATGGTAATGATCTTTTTGATTGAAAGGAGATCGTTAATCATAACTTTTATTAACGTGATCAGCTGGATGATAAAGAGATTCACTCACAGATCCTTCGGCGCTTCAGGAATGCATTTCGGAGAGAGAATCCTGAGAAAAAAAGAAAAATATTGATGCTGCAACATGGTAACATACCTGTTCATAATCATTATTTGTCAATTTTGAGCTAGACGCAAGACAATTCTGGCTTACCAGTTCCATCCATTGCTAAATTGTCTGATGCAGATATGGTTGGTGCCCAAGGCCAGAATCTAGCTTTCCACAAGAGTCGATTTCAGATGAGGAAAGAGATAGAAGATAAGTTATATGACCAGCATATTCCCATAGAAATGGCTTCAATAACTATTCAACAGAATGACTACACACACACACACACACACACACACACACACACACACACACACACACATATATCTCAACTCCAGCCAATTTCTCACAGATGCGATATGGCTTCCTTCTGTCTTTTCTACAAATACTTTCAGGGCAACTGATCTGAGGAGCTACTTTCACTGGTGCCACAACTGCATGAATTTAAGCGTGCTTTTTAGGTTGGCATAACAGTTCCACCCTTTTACTGTCGAAACAGTTAAATGTAACGCCTCTTCTACTCTAACAGCCTCTTCCCCCGACAGTTTAACTCTCTTACTTGCTTTCCTGATAACTATAATCTTCAAATATTCAAATGTGACGTCAATCGACACATTCTGATGCCTTGAATTTGATCATCGTCTTCCTCAAACACCCCTCTTTTACTTTCACACTCTGCAACTCCTCGCCTTGCTTGGGGTGAATGCTTATATATATATATATATATATATATATATATATATATATATATATATATATATATATATATATATGTGTGTGTGTGTGTGTGTGTGTGTGTGTGTGCGTGTGTGTGGTGTGTGTGTGTGTGTGTCTATATCTAGTAGATATTCCGATAAAAAAGACTGACAAATCATTTGCTTTTATTAATACTATGCTTTCTTTGGTATGAATTCAGGAGTTTTCTATTGTGTGCTTAATGATGCAAAAATTGACCGAAAATTTATTGGTTCCGAGCGCGTTCGGATAAACAGTTTTTGTTATTCTACTATAATAAATGGTGAGTAAATACTGTTGTAATGATATAAAAGCTGCTGAAAGTTGATGTCTTCTTTATTTCCAAATACGGCCAACGCATTACTGTACACGTGTTCGCAATTAAAGTTTGATTTCTTGAGTTTCTATCTGTTTCCATGAAGTTGATCAATAATTAATTTCTAAATGTAAAACTATTGAATTTGTTAACAAATGTCAAACACACACAGACATATATATAGAATATACATAATATATATATATATATATATATATATATATATATATATATATATATATATATATATATGTGTGTGTGTGTGTGTGTGTGTGTGTGTGTGTGTATAGCAGCTTGGATTGAAGCATGGGAGCCGATTTTGAATTACAATCGAGTTCATAACATTCACTTACGTGCAATTAGACTTGGCTAAGGTATGAATGCAGCTCTCCTCTCCTCCCAACTAAATATATATATATATATATATATATATATATATATATATATATATATATATATATATATATATATATATATATATATATATATATATATATATATATATATATATATAACGAGAAAATAGACAGATTAAGAAGACACAGTTCTTAGCATTTACACTTTTTAAAAAACATCGTATACTTCAGTCAAATACGGGAGAGAGAGTACATGTGGCCCAAATAGGCATTTTACATAAATACCTACACACACAGACACACACACACATATATATATATATATATATATATATATATATATATATATATATATATATATATATATATATATGTGTGTGTGTGTGTGTGTGTGTGTGTATCGGCGAGGTAAATAATAACGTATAGTTAATACTATATACTTAACTCTGTTTTATTACATCGACACAGTTTTATTAACACCAGCACTATATGCACGATATATATATATATATATATATATATATATATATATATATATATATATATATATACTAGATTTAGTTTCGATGAAGAAAAGGTTTATTCATAGTATACAAGTCTTTCTAATGAAAGCATACTTTGTAATTACCATGTAGCAGACCATTAATAATAATAATAATTATTATTTTTAATATTGATTCATAATAATAATTTATAAAATGAAATGGTCATTTATCTTCATGCTATTTTAATTTTTACGGAGATTGCATCCACTCGTTTGGAGACTTATATATAAAATTTTGTGACTTCGTTAGTCCGTTCATAATTCCGCCCGTCATACCCTTTAAAATCGCCATACAATGACCGATCGAAACCAGATTTTGTGGAGAAGTGTAAACAGGTAAGGCAGTACAGTTGGTTTTATTAGAATACATATATTTGTACAATAAATTTTATTAAATGATTGTAAAAATGAAAAAATAAAAATTGATGATTAAAACAATAAATACATATTTAATAAAAATGCAATATTGTTTTTTGTATATCTTTTCTTTTAGCTTTTATATACATTTCATTCTCGTCAAATATCATGCACAGTTGTAGCATTGTAAATATAAACATAACAAAGCGACTAGAATTTGTAAATCTTAACAAAAATGTTAGCGATAACTTTATTAATACTAAATACTGTGTGGATTTCAACATACATCAGCGTGTTGCAAAAAAAAAAAAATCTAGAGATTGTAAATTTCCTTGTAGGGTGAATATAATTTCGTTGAAATTAAGACTAGTTGTATGATATTTAACATTTCATTTTTTTCCTTATATATGCTTTCATTAATATGCTTTAATTAGTAATTATGAATATCTGAGATTTGAAATTAAAAGCAAATTTTATTTGTTCTTTTACTTCGAAGCAGATCATTTTTAGCAGTAGTGTAATTGATTTCTGCAATAGGCGAAATTCTACTTGGAAGATGGAAATATTGCGATAAAATGTTTAGGGTGATATTCTAAAGATAAACTGTAGATATCAAATATATTTCATTCTAGGAGCAAATACTGACCTTTTTAGATTGGCCACTATGTGGCGTCTTTATATTGAACTTAGAATGAAAGTGGATCTTTAAATAATTTGAATGTTTCAAGGGATGAAACAAAGCAGCTGACTCCTGCACGCCATAATTATTAAAAAGGTATTTCTTAATAATACTCATTTGCTTTCCCTGAAGTCATTGCTCGTTACTCAAAACAGAATATCTTTAAAATTTACGTAAACAATACAAGAGCCCAAAAGAACAAATCGTTTTTCAGAAAGACAATACACATACAATTTTCTTTATTATTTACATGCATAGTATACTTTTGCATCTTGACACTTTATAGGTCAGCTATCTATCTATCTAACTATCTATCTATCTATCTATCTATCTATCCATCTATCTATATATATATATATATATATATATATATATATATATATATATATATATATATAAATATATATATATATATATATATATATATAATAAATCTATCTAGCTCTATAATTAATATATCTATCTGTCTATCTCTCTATATATGTAATTAGTCTAAGTCATTAATCTGTCTCTCTCTCTCTCTCTATATATATATATATATATATATAATTAACCTATGTACTTCATCATATTTTAGCTCTCTAATATCATCAGTCAGTTATGTGACATGATACATCACTTAGGCAGATTTTTCCCGCAGTAGGTTGCCATTTCTTTCTGCGGTAGACCAGTTACCATCCAAGGCTATAGAATTCAATCTGCTCTGCTATTTATCCTTAGTTAGGGGGAGGAGAATTAGAGGATTCATACCGTTCCCAAAAATATTAGCAACTAAGTGTATATAATGGTTTCAACTGGAATTCGAACTCGACTCTCCGTTTCCTCAATCCGAGACGTTACCCTCCTTTAATATTATATTTATCTAATATCTATGTGTTAATCTAATACCTATATATCTATATTCCTGACTAGGTAATCTCATATCTATCTATCTATCTATCTATCTATCTATCTATCTATCTATCTAAACTCGTATATATCTATCCATCTGTATATCTACTTAGTATCGTATCGTATCTATCAAATTTAATATATATCTAATTAATATCATATCTATATATATCTGTCTCTGTCCCCTATCTCTCTCTCTCTCTCTCTCTCTCTGTATATATATATATATATATATATATATATATATATATATATATATATATATATATATATATATATATATATATATATATATATATATATATATATATATATAAAGAGAAAGAAATGTTTGGTTTAGAATCCACAGTTTTTAGCATTTATGTTTTAAATAGTTGCTCGATACAACGTAGAGCATAATATTATAATATACTTTTTAAAAATATTTTACATTGCAACACTTCTATGTTTTGGAACATAAATCTGTTCCATTATCAAGCGATGTTGTGTAACTTTTGCTATAAATTATTTACTTTTGAAAACAGAAAATGATTTACTTTTTAAAACAGAATAATTTACTTTTGAAATAAACACCACTCTGTTTTCAAAAGAAAATCATTTTCATCAAAGTTTACCCAACATTGCTTGATAATGGAACAGATTTAAGTTCCGAAGCATAGAAATGTTCTTGTCAGGATATAAAATAATATATATATATATATATATATATATATAATGCTCATATCTATCTAGATATGTTATCGTTGGAGAAACGTTTAGTTGCATTTGGAAAAGCTAAGCAGCATTGAACGTTTTGTTACAGGTGGTAAAAAAATCTATTTTAAAAGCTGATTTGTCTGTTCATAAGCATTATTACCGTAAATGTTAAAATCCTTATAAACCGAAAACTGAGTATTCGCGCCTACTGATACCGTTTTTTTTTTAAATTCCTTGTCCTATGTAAATTTGAACCACCGTATACTGAAACGAAACAAGAGAAAAATTTATAAAAATCTTAATGTCATATGACTGTTAATACTAAAGATAGTGGCTTCAAGAAGAATAATAAACTGTTGAATTCAATTACGTGTCCTTATCTGTTGCTTCCCGTCGTTTGTTTATTTTTTTTCTCCATTACGTTTGTTTGATTTTACTAATTCTGACCCCGATGTAAGTCTTCCAATATATTTTTTTTAATTTTCAGTGATCAAAGTAACTTTCTATTTCCTCCATTTTATATCCGAACAGCCTATTTGTTTTGTGTGTATGTATCTGAAGAAAGCATCTTGTGAGTACAACATATACAACCGATATACATATTTACATAGCAAGGTTTGTTGAGGGTTGTAAAAAATGAGTATGTTTGTGTTGTCTTTGTCTTAAAAGCGCACAGACTTGAGAGCAAGGTTCGAAATTCAACATTCTCCAACCGGTCATTTAACCATGCTCAAATAAAGCCCATAAAATCTCAGTGTCGAAGACTATTACATTTACGTTCACGAGGTTGAACTGTGTAAAATCATGCGGATGCTGACGTAAAAGGGGAGGAATTTGTTCTTTCTATCTTTCAAGAGGAAATGCAAGTCATGATCTGAAAATAAACATTCAACTTTCTAAACATTACTGTTGATGGGAAAGTGATCAGTGACACCAATGAAAATAAGAAATTGAAAATAATTTCTTTAAAAACAAAATTTCGTTAAAAACAAAGAAAAGAGCACTGAACTGTCACGTGAAATCAATCCTCCTCTATGACAGTCAATACTGGAGAATCTTCTCCAAGATGAAGAAGAGACCTGATGCAACAGAAATGTGGTTCTACAGAAGAATGCTGAGAATACTGTGAACTGAAAATATGAGTAACGATGAAGTTTTAGAGAAAATGGAAAAAAAGAGAACTGATAATTATCATCAGGAAGAGGCAGTGGAAAGAAGGCTTGGAAAATATGATACTCATCGGAGAGAATGAAGATAAAAGCGATAGAGCAAAACAAAGCATAATCTATATAATTAGCTTTAATAAATAGATGACTGAACAATGATTTTTTATCATTTCATCCCACGCAAGGCGGTAATGCTACTAATACGCAGAGTGTTATAGGGAGTGAAAGTAGAGGAAAAGATTGAGAATAAGGAGGATTGTGGAAAGGAAAAAAGAATAACGGGGTTTAAGAACGCAGAAGATGGAGATTGACGTTACATATAATTTTTTTTAAGATTGTCGTTAACAGGGAAGCAATGAACCTAATATATTTCCACAGGATGGAATGCGAGTATATAAACTGTTGTAGCAGAATTTGTGAGTGAATTTAACTATTTTAACAGTAAAATGGTGGGCCCTAGATGCCAGTCTGTTAGCACGCTTATATTCAAGTATTCGGGGCACCAGGGATAAAAGCACGCCAGAGCAGTTGCCATGAAAATACTTCTAGAAAAACAGAGGGAAGACACGTAACATCGGTGAGAAATTGACTGATTGTTATGGTGAAACCCACCTATTCTATAGTTAATAGACTCTCCCACCTAATATAAGTAGGAGTAGTAAGAGAAACGAGGGTCAGTCGATGTCGGAGGACAGTAGTCGACAGTTAGTCGAATACGAAAGTAGTCAGCGACCACAACAAGATTACTCTGCGTAATACCTATTATATCAAGTTCCTAACGTTTTGTAAGTCGAACATTTTAGGACCGATTTAGTACAATTACAAACCTCCACTGCGAAATAACTCCACAACACTGATGTCGTGATGTTTGGTCAGGATCGATTGCATTACAGAGCTTTCTTTAGATTTTGTCAAGAATTTCTAGATGTACAGCAGGAGCAGCAGACCAGATATGACAACAGTATTTAATGTACGAACGAATGGTAGATTTATAAATGTACAAAAGGGATTCTGACGAGAAAAAAAAATTTCCTGGTACGACACAATGACCCAACATTCCTTGCAGAAGATGCAGGGGAGAGATAACAAAAAAATAAAATTTATTAAGAACTGCGAAGGATAGAAACCTGATCAAAACCCTTATCGCCTATATTCTGAAGGGACACGGCACATAGAAGACGATCAAACATTATAGAAAACCAATATTAATCTGATCAATAATATATTATGTATCTACATTATTCATATTATTCAAGCTGCTCTCATCTGTATTTTTACATCCACAACCTTTCGGTCGTTGTACGTACTGGTCTTTTTCAGGTGATATTTTGAATACAACTAAAAATGGAATATCTTCGGCGTGGCAAAAATAACGAAAGAGAAGAATACAATAACTTCAAATCGAAAATAAATAAAATCAAGTAAATTTACCACATCTTTCTGAAAAGTTTATTGTATTTTTTATCAAAATTGAATATTTTTGACACCGTTATCGGTATATATATATATATATATATATATATATATATATATATACCTTTCTTGATCTCAAAATTTCCCTTAGAAACAAAGAAAATATTGCTGCACTGCTATGCAATATCTAATTTTCTATGGGGCAGGAAATACTGGTCACTTTCTTCAGAGGGGAAGAACTGGCTTGAAAAAAACTAAATCTAGTTCTACTGACTGAAGCGGAAACAGCAATATTCAAATCGTTTTAAATAAATGTCAGACATTTGTTTACATCAACGAAGAATAGGTTTTCCAACCAGTGTAGATAACAAGTTAACGTCGTTTAGATTCCAATAAAGTTTGTTTTATACATCGAATCGATATTATATAGAGGCGGTAATAATATAAAACACTATATATATATATATATATATATATATATATATATATATATATATATATATATATGTGTGTGTGTGTGTGTGTGTGTGTGTGTGTGTGTGTATGTATGTATATAGCGTATATTTTGGCAGTATATTTTCATACGAAATTCAACGTATCCAATATAATCATTCGTAATGACTCTTCCCCACCAACTAACGTGTTGCAGAAATCAACATTGTATATAAATTTAAATATCACTTGGGATATTTTATCTCCAATAGAAAAAAATAATATATATGTTGCCCATACCACTACTACGTTTTCTTGAATGTTGAGTTTCCTTTTGAATGATGCATCTGATATTTCTAAATATTTACAACATACCTGTCCGCATTCCCAATTTAGGAAAATTCTTGTTGAAAATACATCAATAATTTCATTTATATGAAATAAAATTTCTTGAAGCGATCTCTATTAAACATTGAAAGCCACTCTTTATAAAATTTATTATAAATGCTTCACAAATGTTTTAAAATTTTTGTAGTAGATAGTTAAAACATCTAGGTTTTAACTAATAATTTTGTTTTAATATTCAGATATTTCAATAACTTAGATAACTCTCTTGATGCTTGCACATGTGTCTACATAAAATTTAAAATGATGAACAAATTCTTTTTGTCTTAGAAAAAACGAGATCCTGATGACAACATTGTGCTAATGTCGAAAGTACACGGAATAAAATGAATAGCCATCAACATGGTAATTTTTATTTTCTCCATTAATAAAGATACTAAGAAAATTTACCACAGGATCCTATTAAAAATAAGTAGACAAAAAATGTAGAAATGTCCTAATATATATATATATATATATATATATATATATATATATATATATATATATATATATATATATATATATCGGATATATTACCCGATGTGTGTGTGTATATTTATATATTGTATGTATTTCGGCAGCATCTTTTCATTCATTCACATTTCATTAAATAATATAGACAAGTGTTGTCTATTTATTTTATGTAAATTCTTTTCATAACGTCTGATAAGTTTAATAACATTATCATTAAATGAAGAAAGAAATTCACAATATTGATCCATATTTTTTTAATACAAACTAAGCTTTCGGCTTACATAAGCCATTATCAAAGATGTCAATTAAAAAATATTAAGCAATATATGGGCAAGACAGTGATGATAGTCTGTCATTGTTCACATTGATCATTTCTAAGCAACGATAAACACGTGCATATAAGACGCTAGAAGCGAAAAATCGCACCGAATCTCATGACGTCACACATGACCACGCGAGAGTGAATTGGAGAAGTATGAAGTATGGGAAGCCGTTGGTATAAATGTCTA